TTATGCTTTCATCATCCCTCATTCAACCACTATATAACAACGGCCACCCTTAACCTCGACAACTGAAAAACCCACCACCACCACTCAAAAACCCACCACCACCACTCAAAAACCCACCACCACCACTTAAAAACCTATCACCACCCTTCAACCACACGAAAAAATACCACCACCACCACCAAGAACAAGACAACGGACAGCCTCCCTACCCCGTACCCACAGCCCCGAGGTTCAATGCTCCTCATAACTGGAGGTGATAAGACCATATTCAACTTAAAGGACCACATATGACGTTCAAAATGTCATTAAAACTCTACTCAGAATATGATTTAACTATATTCTTCCCCTTAGTACCAGTTTGGGGAAAAAATTAACTTAAGGAATTTTTTTGAGTCGTGGTTTCAGATGCGGTTGTATTGGGTGAGTCAGCGGCTGACTGACTGACTGACTGACTATTCCTACCTAAGAATATCCACATTGTTGAAAATATACGAAGTTCTTCCAATTTACACCCACATCCTCCCAATTAACATCTTCAGACTTCCAATTTTCTCCCCCAATTTTTATCTAGAGTTCTAAACTAATTAATTTCCTCCTAAACTCTCCATTTTCAGGTAATATTTTCAGTGTTCCCCTAAACTCCCCAATTTACAACTCAACTCCCCAATCTTTCCCCAAATCTTCACATAAACTCCCTAATTTTCATCCCAGCCCCCAAATACCACGTCCAATTTACTTCTCTCACCAAAAAATAAAGCCCGGACGCATCTATTGTAACAGACTAAGTGAGTGAGTGAGAGAGAGATGGTGAAGAGTGCAGTGATATAATGGTGTGAGAGAGAGATGGTGGAGAAAGAGATAATGAAGAGAAAGAGAGAGAGAGAGAGAGAGAGAGAGAGAGAGAGAGAGAGAGAGAGAGAGAGAGAGAGAAGACAAAACATACGTGAAGGTATACTCTTAAGAGAACCAACTCCCAAGACACTCGGACTATTTTGCCGGTAATGGTGACATGTGAGATGCTGCCCTGGTGGCCATTGTTGTCATGAAGGCCAACCACTCCCCTCATTTCACCCCCTCCTCTCTCACCCTCCAGGCATGTGCATTACGTCTGCATTGTCAGTCGTATACGCACGTGTGAATCAAAGAGAGAGAGAGAGAGAGAGAGAGAGAGAGAGAGAGAGAGTATAAGAACATATGAATGGAGGAAACTGCAGCGGGCCTATTGACCCACACTCTGGCAATCCCGTTTACACTCAACCCCTACGCTCATATATCCATCCAACCTATATTTTAATCTACCCAACGTGTTCGAGTTAATGATGATGTTCGGTAACTTGATCCACTCATCCACTACTCTATTTCCAAACCAGTGTTTACCTATCTCGCGCCGAAATCTAAATTTGTCTAATTAAAAAATCATTGTTACGAGTTCGCTTCTGGTTGGATAGTTTAAGTACCTTTGTTTTATCACCTTTAATTAACCCAGACTTCCATTTATACACCTCGATCATATTGCCCCTCACTCTACGTCTCTCGAGGAAGTGCAAATTAAGATGCTTTAACCTATTTCTATACTCAAGGTTCATAATGCCCGCGTATTCAAGTGAGGTCTCACAAGCGCAATATATAGTTTTAGAGTAACCAAATTTAGTTTTAGGATTACCAGAAGAGAGAGATTTAGCTCTACGATGAAAGAGAATTTTAAATCTACTTAGAGAGAGAGAGAGAGAGAGAGAGAGAGAGAGAGAGAGAGAGAGACCCTCTCCCAACACAACACATTTTCTCCCAGCTGTTATTGATCACTCGGATTTTTTCGCCCGCAAGGAAAACGGGCCGAAGAAGTTGGAAGAGTTTCCTCGTCTATGATTGGCCTGTACGTCAGCAGGCCACGCCCCCCTGCCCGTCACCCCGACACCCATTCATAACACACAAAAGAATGTCATTAATGCTTGAGATATATCATTTAACTCAGTACTTTCTTTCACGGAATGTCATGTATTATGATTTACGATGGCTCGGTGCTGTTTCCAAGTCCTTACACGGATACAACGTACACAGATAAACACACACACAAATGTACGCAGACACTACCGCTAAGGCACACACACACACACACACACACACAAACACGCGCGCGCACGCACAGATAGAAACTTAACTACTGCAATTAATTTAGCGTCACTCTCACCACACTACTACAACCACAATCACTCACCACATCACCACCACTACCACAGTCACTCACTACTACACAACCACAATCACTCACCACACCACCACCACTACCACAGTCACTCACTACTACACAACCACAATCACTCACCACACCACCACCACCACCACTACTAAATTACCATACAGCCACAGTCACCAGCACTACCACACTACACTACCACAAAACCACCACCACCTCCACACAACCACAGTCATCATCACCACCACAGCCACCACACCACCGCACGATCACCACCACTACACTACCGCACTATCACTACCACTACTACCACAGTCCCACACTCACCATCACTGCTACAACACCACCACCACCACCATCACCACCACCACCACCATCAACACCAACACCACCACAGTTCCTCATCCTCGACCCCGCCGTCTCATCAGGTGGGCGATCTCTAGAAAATATTCAGAGCTCAATAATTTCTCGCTGATTTCTCTCATTACAGGACTTTGTAAAATAACTGGACTGTATGTGTGTTGTATTTCGGACCACACACACTACTACTACTACTTTGATATCACTCGGAATCGAGTACAACGATCATCCAGCTATGATACAATAATAAGAGTTATTAAGGATGTCACCTTCGTTGGTGAGCTCTGAGGTGACTAGAGAGACCAATTTAGGACCGGCAGGGCCGTCCACAGATGTTGCACGTATGGAGGGCTTCATCAAGTGCGAGTGGGCCGGCGGCAGAGTCTTTCCGGCGCTGGCGCTTGTCTGCCTCGGTATGTAGTCGGGTTAACTCCACAGTATTGACACCTTATGTGGTGCCCCTGCAAGTGTTACGGTGTGGAGTAATCGTCTCCCAGGTAAAGGGGTCGATTTGGCACTTTTTCAAGTTTGTCTTGAAACTATCCTTAAAACTTTTCCATTGCCCGCCAGCGTTACGTTTACCTATTCGTTAGGTGACTGTAAATTAGCTGCTTTGGCAGTCTACTGTCGTCCATACGGGTAACATGGCCAGTCCAGCACAGTTGTTCATGGATAATGGTAGCCTCGATGTTCCTACAGTTGGTTTCAGCGAGAATACTAACATTTGTTCTCTTGTGTTCCAGCGAACTCGGAGGATGGAACGTAAACTACATTGGTGAAAATTTTCAAGTGCCTTGAGGTGCCTCCTGCATGTGAACCATGTCTCGCTGCCATCTAACAGAGTGAGGAGGACCACTGCTTGTTAGACGTACAAATTTGTATATACTTTCAGCTCCCTAGAGAGTCTTCCATAGGCTTGAGATGCACATCTGATCCGATGTTGAATTTCTTCATCGATATCCGCAATGGTGGACAGGTGGGAGCCGAGATAATGATGGCTGGTGGAGGTGTGGTTTAACCTAGGACAGGCTGAATAATAATCTGAGGCTCATGTACATTCACCTCAAGGCTGCAGTGTGCATACGCATCTGTGTAGATGTTCAGGATCTCCTGTAAGTCGCGTTCAGTGTGAGCGACGACGGTGAGGTGGTCTGCATACTGAAGATCAGTAATGGAAGCTACCGACACCTTTGCTCCAGCCTGGAGTCGTCTTATGTTGAAAAGTCCCTTCATCCAGTATTGAAGGTCCACCCCGCTAGCTAAATTGGCACTGGTACGATTAAGGAAGGCAGCCAAGATAATGGAAAAGAGTGTTGGTGCCAGTACACAATGTGGATTTGTCTCACTATGGCGATGAATTTTGGTGGGCTTCCCTGTTGACCGAGTCGAAGGCCATGGTAAGGTTAATGAAGGCCATGTACAGGTCACAACACTCTTCTCTGCTTTTTTACTGTATCTGGCGGGCAGTGGTGCCACATGGTGGTCTAAAGCCACATTGACATTATGGGAAGAGGTTTTCTGCCTCAGGAAGAAGTCTGTTTAAGAGAATTCGGGCGGTAATCTTGCCAGCTACGGACAGCAGCGAGATCCCGCGGTAGTTGCCACAGTCTTATAGGTCTCCCTTGTTCTTATAAATATTGATGATAGAGGCGTCGTTAAGAGCTTGGAGTAGTTCATTCTTTTCCCATATATTCTCCAGGATAGAGTGGAGATGGCTTCATATACATCGGCTGGGAATCCATCAGGCCCTGAGGCTTTGTTATTTTTCATTTGCTTGATGGCAGTAGTTACCTTATCCAGGGATGGAGGATAGCTCAGGTGGGTCAGCTCTGGTTGCTGAGGGACCTGCTGGGTAGTCAGGACATCGACATCGGTGTTTCGGTTGAGCAGCGAATGGTGGAGCTCTTTGCAGCGCTGAAGGATGCCTTCTTCGTCTTTAATTAGGGAGTTACTGTCGGATGAGCGGAGGGGGAGCTGCACCACTAGTGATTGGCCCATAAAATGTTTTAGTGGAATTAAAAAAATCGCGCATCTTGTGTTGATTTGCAAGTTTTTGTGTTCCACATGCTATATTTTTCAACCATTCGTTCTTTAGATTGAAGTTCGCGCTGGGCTGCTGCTTTCTTCTTGTGGAAGGTATCAGCTTTGACATAAGACTGAGGGTTATTCTGGCAATCAGTTAAAGCAGCACGTTTATCATCGACGAATACGTTGATTTCCGGGTCATTTTCATCAAACCAGTTCTGGTGTATTCTTTCGATCTGGTCGAGGGTCTCTGCAGGTTTTTGTCATGACAGTGTCGAAAATACCCCATTCGGCACTGTAATTTGGGTTGTTTGTTTTTGGGTTGTTTATCAGCCCATGTTCGAGCTGCTCTCTGAAAGCATGTGCTACCGCTAGATTTTCCAGACGCTTAGTGTTAAAACTTCTTCTGGAGGCTTGTTGCCTTCGCCGTTTTGGGGCGGCGTGAAGTTAGAGTTTGGCTCTGACGAGCCGATGATCAGTGTCACAGTGGTTTGAGCCACGTATGGCTCGGGGGATGAGGACATCTCTGCGATCTCTTTCTCTGACAATGATGTAGTCAATGAGATGCCAGTGTTTGTATCGTGGGTGTTGTCACGAACCCTTGAGCTTGTCGGCCTGCCAAACAAGGTATTGGTGATAGTGAGGTTGTGTGTAGCACACTTGCTGAGGAGGAGCAGGCCGTAATGATTACACTTGCCTACTCCATTTCCTCATTATGATTCCTGCCATATGTCCACATCTCTTCCATCTCTGGCATTGAAGTCTCTTTATCTTCTCCTGGGATAGAGGTTAGTACTGTCGAGGTATGTGTAAAAGGCCCCCTTGATGTCACCCTCGACATTCAGTGTTGGGGCGTATACACTGGTGAAGAAGGCATGACGTGAGTGTTTCAGTGGGACTTGGAGAATCATGAGGCACTTGTTGATCCCAAAAAGCATTTCAGTTAGCCTATGTAGGATGGATTGATGAATGGCAAGCCAACTTCATAAATGCGGTTTCTTATTGCAGTAGGCTTACCCTTCCGGAAGAAGGTATAGCGAGACCCTCATTCTGTGAGTCGATCCTCATCTTGGAGCCAGGACTAACTAATGGGTGCTATGTCGATGTTGTACCTAGACAGCTCTTTTGCCACAATGGCTGTTCTTCTTTCAGGACGTGCATTTGTGACAGTAACCAGAAGGGTCCTGACATTGTAAAGCGACCAAAAGAGGTTGTTTAGTTCGATTTTGCTATAATCTGTGATGATGATTGTGTTTTTGACCACATAAGGATGACTTTACTGGGTGCAGTTGCCCACTCAAATTGGTTTATTCAGGCAGGGTATGATGAGGGCAGTTTGAGCAGAGTGGCTCCTCAAAAGTGCTACTCAGTCACACATACAGGACCGAATTGCACTACGGCCTAGATCCCAGTGCATAAACGACCATCTTATCTATGCTGTCCATGTGTAGTTGTGCCTGGAGTCTCCTGACACTCATCTCTGCCTGTCCTCGTCGCCACCCGTTTGTCGCCATAGGACTTTTGGGGTATAGGGGTTCGGTGACGATGAGAGGTATGATGAGCTGGATGATGGCTGCGTGTGAGTTGATTTACGAGGTATGTGGTGAGGCCGGAGCACACATATTGGCTCTCCATTTTCCTAATGCAGTGGTGCAGGCTGCGATTAATGTGGAGAGGGTATAGTTGCAATAGACTACCGATAGCCCAGTTTGCGGGTTTCGCCTTAGTAGCCTGCACATCCTGCATTGCCTTCATCTGCCGGTCTAGCAGTTGGGTTCCCATGTTGGACACCTCTTCTGTTTATTTAGCCATTGTCGTGTTGCTGGAGCTCTGTAAGTATGTCTGCCTGAAGTGGGGCTTCACCACAGATTTTCCTTTTGGGGTTTACTCCCGTAGCCTTATACCTGCCTAGTTTAATCTGCAAGACATCGAGGAAGTGGGTGGGAGGCATCTGGGCGTGTCCACTTCCCGGTGGGTCTATGTGCCGTCCCTCTGGGGCCCACTGCTACTCCGAGATCCCCTGCTGGTCTAGCCTGGGGCTGTGAGACATCCAATTACCGTGTGTTGCCACAAGGAGGCACGCAAGAGTCTTGATGGTGAAGAAGCTGTGAACTGGCAGGGGAAGACGTATGCAAGGTTGCTTCCCTGTTCACCAAGAGGGCAAGCCAGCAGCGGTAGCTGAAAGCGAGAGAAAGCAAGCAGTGCTTGCACCTAAACACTAACATAATGCTGCCACACTAAATGCATTACACTAGCCTGTGTGTGCACACACACACACACACACACACACACACACACACACCTCACTCAGCGATTTAATAATACACACGTTGTTTGAATATGTAATTTACATACATAAGTTACATACATAACTGTTGGTGTTGGTATTATATGGTTGTAAGTATATTTATTGTATTATATATTAACTTAAGCGTAATTATGGCCTGGGTTTTAATATATAGTGAAGGTTTAGTTGAGGTTAGTTGTATGGTGGTATTTGGTCTCTCTCTCTCTCTCTCTCTCTCTCTCTCTCTCTCTCTCTCTCTTCTATCTATATCTTTCTTTTTCTCTATTTCTTTCTATTTCTTTCTCTCTATCTATTTCTTGCTTTTTCTCTCTCTTTCTCTTTCTTTCTCGCTATCTCTTTTCTTTCTTTCTCTCTATTTCTTTCTTTTTCTCTCTATCTCTTTCTCTTTCTCTCTATCTATTTCTCTTTCTTTCTCTCTATTTATTTCCTTTTTCTCTCTATTTCTTTCTTTTTCTCTCTATCTATTTCTCTTTCTATCTATCTCTTTGTCTTTCTTCATCTCTATCTCTTTGTCTTTCTTTCTTTTAATATATTTCTTTGTTCTTCTCTCTCTCTTTCTCTCTTTCTCTTTATCTATTTCTTTCTTTTTCTCTGTATCTCATTTCTTTCTTTCTCTCTATCTATTTCTTTCCTTCTCTCTCTTTCTTTCCTTTTTCTCTCTATCTCTTTCTCTTTCTCTATATATTTCTCTTTCTTTCTCTCTATTTCTTTCCATTTTCTCTCTATCTCTTTCTCTTTCTTTCTTTCTGTGTTGTTTGTCCGTCACTTTCTCTCTCCCTGTGTTTTTGTTTCCATTTGCCTGTCTGTCTGTCTGTCTGTCTGTCTGTCTGTCTGTCTGTCTGTCTGTCTGTCTCTGTGTCTGATCACTCTCTAGTTATCGTTATACGAGAGAGAGAGAGAGAGAGAGGTAATTACCCTCTCCCTCCCACACCATTTCTCCCATTCTGATTAGCCAAATACTCAGAGGCAAAGGATAAGTCACACTGATTGTCAAGTGGCAAAAATACTAATCGTAGCTACTCATTTAAGGTGGTTATATATATTTGAGCCAATCAGAGCTATTCTTTTGGGTAATGAGCCAATCAGATCTAATTACGCGACTCAGACAATCAAAACTATTCTCTCAGAAAATCAGAAATACTCCCTTAGACAATCATAGGTGCTCAATCACACAATCAAGACTGTCTTAGAAAATCAGAACTACTTCTTAAGACAATCTGAGCTACTAAATCGGACAATCAGAACTGAATTATAAAATTAAATCAACTCAATCAGAATTACTCCCTCAGACTATCAAAACTAAATTCGAACATCAGAAATATTCCCTTAGACAATCAGAACTCAAACAATAAGAACTACTCCCTTAGACAATCAGAAATGCTCATTTCACAATCAAGACTACTAAGTCGGACAATCAGAATTATTGGCTCACACAATCAGAATTACTCCTCCAGACAATCAGAACTCAATCACACTAACTGAACTTCAGCAAGAGAGTAACAATTTAAAGGACATTATTGAATTACACAAATATTGACCCTTGTATTGATTAATATATTAAGGTGCTGTGACTGCTGGGTGCTGAGATTGCTGGGTGTTGGGACTGCTGGGTGCTGGGACTGCTGGGTGTTGGGACTGCTGGGTGCTGGGACTGCTGGGTGTTGGGACTGCTGGGTGCTGGGACTGCTGGGTGCTGGGGCTGCTGGGTGCTGGGACTGCTGGGTGTTGGGACTGCTGGGTGCTGGGACTGTTGGTTGCTAGGACTGTTGGTTACTGGGACTTGTTATTGATTTGCTGGGACTGTTAGTTTTGCTGGGACTGTTAGCAGTTTGCTAGGACTGTTGGTTGCTAGGACTGTTGCTGACCGTTGTATTGTTGGGCTGGGCTGTTGGTTGCTGGGACTGTTGGTTGCTGACCAGGTTGCTGACTGTTGGCTGCTGGGACTGACTGGTTGCTGGACTGTTGGTTGCTATGACCGTTGGTTGCTGGGACTGTTGGCTGCTGACTGTTGGTTGCTGGGACTGTTGGTTGCTAGGACTGTTAGTTGCTGGGACTGTTGATTTGCTGGGACTGCTGGACTGCTGGGACTGTTGGTTGCTGGGGACTGTTGGTTGCTGGGACTGTTGGTTGCTGACCGTTGGGTTGCTGGGGACAGTTGGTTGCTGGGACCGTTGGCTGCTGGGACTGTTGGTTGCTGACTGTTGTTGGTTGCTGGGACCGTTGGTTGCTGGGACGCTGTTGGTTGCTGGGACTGTTGGTTGCTGGGACTGTTGGTTGCTAGGACTGGTTGCTATGACCGTTGGGTTGCTGGGACTGTTGGTTACTAGGACTGTTGGTTGCTGACTGTTGGTTGCTATGACTGTTGGTTGCTGGACTGGTTGCTGGGACTGTTGGGTTGCTGGGACTGAGTGGTTGCTGGGACTGTTGGTTGCTGGTTGCAGGACTGCTGGTTGCTGGGACTGTTGTTGCTAAGACTGTTGGTTGCTGGGACCTGTTGGTTGCCAGGACTGTTGGTTGCTGGGACTGCTGGGCTGTTGGTTGCTGGGACAGTTGGTTGCTGGGACTGTTGGCTGCTGGGACTGTTGGTTGCTGACCGTTGGTTGCTGGGACTGTTGGTTGCTGCCATGACTGTTGGGTTGCTGGACCTGGGCTGACCGGGACCGCTGGCTGAACGCTGTTGGTTGCTGGGACTGTTGGTTTATATGACCTGCTGGTTGCTATGACTGCTGGCTGCTGGGACTGTTGGTTGCTGGGACTGTTGGTTGCTGGGACCTGGTTGCTGGTTCTTCAGGACTGTTGGTTGCTGGGACTGTTGGCCGCTGTTGGTTGCTGGTTGACTGTTGGACTTGCATTGGACTGTTGGTTGCTGGGACTGTTGGTTGCTGGGACTGTTGGGACTGTTGGTTGCCTGTGACTGTTGGTTCTTGACTGTTGGTTGCCAGGACTGTTGGTTGGTTGTTTAACAGGACTGTTGGTTGCTGGGACTATTTGGTTGCTGGGACTGTTGGTTGCTGACTGTTGGTTGCTGGGACTGTTGGTTGCTGGGACTGTTAGTTTCTGGGACTGTTAGTTTGCTGGGACAGGACTGTGAAATTATAACAACAAAACCAACGACAACAAATAAAGAAACAACAACAACAAAAATAACAATAACAAAATAACAACAAAACAACAACAACAAAACAACAAAACAATAAAAAACAACAACAACAACAACAATAAATAACAACAACAAACAACAACAACAACAACAACAACAACAACAACAACAACAACAACAACAACAACACAACAACAACAACAACAACAACAACAACAATATCAACAACAACAACAACATATCAGAAGGAAACAAACAAACTTAAAAGGAAAAAAAAAAACAAGAAAATAACCCAAACAAAAAATAAGTGGAGGAATAAATAGTGAAAAAGACATAGAGAAGAATACAGAATAAATATAAGAGAGAAAGTAAAAGGAGAGAGAGAATACAAAGACGCAGAGAGTAATTGGAAGGAGAACAAAGAAAACGGGGAATATGATACTGGAGAGAGAGAGAGAGAGAGAGAGAGAGAGAGAGAGAGAGAGAGAGAGAGAGAGAGAGAGAGAGAGAGAGGAGTGAGAGATACAAAGGTTCAGACAGACAGACAGCCACAAAGACAGAAGCAGAAAGACAGGCATATAAATAGCCAGGGAAAACAGACAGGTATGAAAGACAAATAAAAGCAGACAGACAGAGATAGAGACAGACAAACAAACAAACAGACAGGCAGGCAGAGACAGTCAGAAATACAGACAGACAGACAGACAGATTACGAGGAGGGTAACCGATAACGAAGACCAGGCGAGAGAAGAGACGAATAAACAGAGGGAGAAAGAAAACGGGGGATAAATATGATAGAGCGAGGGAAGATAAGTAACTTAGAAGAGAGTTAGTAGGTGAGTAAATGAAGGGAGAGAGAGAGAGAGAGAGAGAGAGAGAGAGAGATAACGCAAGAAATACAAGTTAATTCCAGAGGTAAATTAATAAAAGGGAGGGAGAGGAAGAAGGAAGGAGAGAAGGAGAGACAGATGAGAGGGAAAAGAAAAGATAAAGGATGCTTAGGGAAGAGGTGTCATGGGTTGCGTTGGGCCTCCCGCACAACCCATCCCAAATGCTTGTTTAGGTAGAGATAAGGTAACCGGCCAGCCGATAAGGGGAGGCCAGTGAGACAGTGTTGTACTGATCATCATTTCACGCCTCAAAAACCACATTTTAGTCAGTGGGCTTTAGACCTTGGGTGAGAGTAGACCTCCTGCTCCGCGGACTTAGAACAGGGGCCATACAGTCCTACCAGTGCTACGAGTCTGTGTGTGCAAATCCCCGAGAGTGTTGTTAAGTCCAGCGACAAGTTAACACATCCTGTAAAGGAAGTGATCAATGGTGAGGGCCTGTTGCTACAAGAGCACTCCAGGCCGGCCTAATAGATCTAACGATTAATTCTCCAGGTTGACAAACTCTCCCTTATAACTTACTGTACTGTGGCGTGAATGTGAGTGACTGGCCTATCCATGCAAATTATAAGTCCAGTGTATGGAATTGTGCCAAATAAACGTAAGTGCAATTATCTGCCCGTATCTGTGACCCCTCTATTATTATTATTATCAAGGGTAATGACTGATTGGTTATGACAAAGTATAATCACTAACTTAGATGGATGTTGGAAATTAATGGAATTCATTAAATCATCATTTATCAAGTACACAACGCATTGAATGCCGGAAGCAGAGTGAAATTCTACGTAGTGATACACCATAATCTCCCGGGTGAGTAACCAGTGTGAAGGTATCTGAGTTCTACGGTAAGAAAACCGCTTTCTTGCATTTAAAACGTAACAAGAGGCATAGAGAAAGAGGAGGAAGAGGAAGAAGGGGGAGGGGGAAGAGGGAGGAGGGGGAGGGAAGAGGAGGAGGAGGAGGGGAAGAGGAGGAGGAGGAGGAGGAGGAGGAGGAGAAGGATAAAAAATAAAAATAGATGATGAAGAAAGAAAGAAAGAAAGATAGAAAAAAGAAAGATAGAAAGAAAGAAAGAAAAGAAAGGAAGCAAACAAACAAATAAAATTAACAAATGAACAGAATATAAGAAAGGAAGACAGGAACCGGAAACGTGATACAACTAACCGAGACCAAATTGATAGGAGCTTCAGGAGGGGAATGAAAGATGAGAGAGAAAGAAACATGATAAAGGAGAGGAACAGAGAGAGAGAGAGAGAGAGAGAGAGAGAGAGAGAGAGGGGAAACAGACAATAGCAACTTGGATACAATACACAACGTTGATATTTCAAGAGAAAGAGATAAAAAAAAATGGAGAATGAGAGAGAAACAGAGAATATCAGCCATGCAAAAAAATAGAGAACGGGAAAGGAAGTGGGGGAGGGGAGGAGGAGGAGAA